AAAAACATTTAAGTGTAGAGGTTACCCATTCTATATTATGTGTGGCCAGAGCATTTGAATTTCTCTACTTTAGTCACCATTGCTCCCATACACCTACAAGAGACATTTATTAGGATTTTATTACCCAAATTTCTTTGGGTCATTGAACATTAGTTTCAATGCTCCTTGTTCCCTTAGGAACTCATACTTGTCTAATTTTAAAATGTTTTCCTTTCTTTAAAGGACAAGTATGTTCCATGTGACCATGGAAACGACAATGTGAGCATTTTACCATTTTGAGTATGATTAATTGTTTTGATAAATTAATTCTTTTTCCTTTGTTAATCTTTCAAGCTTAACTTTTAAATTAATTTATTTTTCTAAATCATTGATTTTGATTTTTGAAAGATCAAAATCATTTTCAAAACTTCATTTTGTTTTTCAAAGTCACACTTTGCTTTCAAAATCAAATCATTTTCAACCTTAAATTTTTAAATTAATTTCTTATATTTGGAATTCATGGTCTCAAATTCCAAAATAAATCATCATAGGCATCTTGTAACTCTTTAAAATAATAAGAATTTAAATCACTAGAATTAGAAGCTACAATTGAATCTTCTTGAATGGCCATTAGGCATAGATTGACTACTTCATCATCGGAGTTGTCTTCATCACTCCAAGCCGCCACAAAAGCCTTCTTTTTACTTGATCCTTTCTTCTTTAGGAGAGGACATTCATACTTGACGTGTCCCGTCCTTTGGCACTCAAAGCACACCAGGGGACCTTTCTTCTTGCTAGATTCATGTTTCACTTCTTTTCCTTTAGAAGTCATGAATTTAGTGAATCGTTTGAAGAACTTGGCCATATCTTCATATTCCTCTTCATCCACCTTTTCACTTGACTCTTAATTACTCTCATTGGTGGATTTGAATGTGATTCTCACCTCATTCTTCCTGTTTTTCTTCCACTTTCTTTGGAGTTTCACCTAATGAGTGAGTAAAGAACCGATGAGCTAATTGAGGTGTATAACTCTAATTCCTTGGCTTCTTCGATGGTATTCGCTTTATCTTCCCAAGATGTAGACAATGAGGCAAACATCTTTCTCACCATCTGTTCATTGGGATAGACCTTCCCAAAGTTCTTCAAGTCATTGATAATCATTGCAAACCGATCAAACATTGTCTAGATGTCTTCATCAGGGTTTATTTTGAAGTTTACATAGTTTAGGGTTTGAATGCCAATCTTGGACTTCTTCAATTGGCTTGTTCTTTCATGGGTCACCTTCAATTTGTCTCAAATCTCCTTAGCATTAGAGAACGAAGATAATCTACTATATTTTTCTGGGCCAAGTGCACAAGATAGGATGTGCATAGCCTTGGCATTGCGTTGGGCAAGCTTCTTTTCTTCAATAGCCCAATCTTTTTGATTCTTTCAAGGAACGAGAGAACCATCGATGATGGCATCCCAAACTGCAAGGTTCATGGCTTGAATGAACAAACTCATCATATTCTTCTAACAGGAGTAGTCAGCAACATTAAAGTAAGGCGGTCTGTGATGGAGTATGAATCCTCGAGATAGTACATTCCAGATGTTGAAGTCATCTTCTCAGTTGCTTCGGTAATTGATATAGTGCTTTAAGGATCTTCACATGGTTGTCAAACCGTCGATTTGTGACCCGCATGATACCAATTGTTGGGATTTAAAAAGCTCAATTAATCTTGGCTTTTTGAAATTTTAGGGAAATAAGGAAAAAGGATAGGAAGATTTGAATAATGATTTATAGTGGTTCAACTTTCTCAATGAAGTCTGCATCCACTACCTTAGCTCCTCACTAAGGATTTCTAACAAATTAAATAATTTGTTCTTTTTTTTCCTAGGATCAAGTGTAACCTTTACAATTTCCCTATCTTTTCAATGGCTAAGATAGAACCACTCCCCTTTTACAAAGGATAAAAATTGTGTAAACAAGAAAACCTCTACAAGGTAGGTGTTTACAATTAAAACTCACAAAAACACTTTATTTACAAGAGAAAATGAAAAATAAGATTGAAAGAGCTTTCTCTTGATGTTGATTGCTTGGATAGGTGTTGTAACCTTCTTCAAGTGTCTTGAACTTGTTTTTATATGTTGGAATGAGTTTGTGGATGTTTCTAGCTGTTGGGGATGTTTTGGAGCCATTGGGGACTTAATTTCTGCGAAACAAAACTGTCCAAACATAGGAGTATCGATACTCAGGTGAGAGTATCGGTACTGTTATAATAAAAACTCGTCATTTATGACCATTGGACAAGGAGTATCGATACTGGTATCGATACTTGCATAGTATTGGTACTAAAATTGCAATATGGAATGTGAACTCATTTAAAAACCAATAGACATTATCGGTACTGCCATGGGAGTATCAATACTTCCCTTGCCTTAAGTATTGATACTATTCATATGGTATCGATACTATTCATGTGGTATTGATACTGAAGAAACAATATCTGTACTTCATGCTTAGAAAAATATTTTGAGTTCAAATTCAAGTTTTATGGACTTTGAATTATTTTTGAAAATTTTTCATAAATTCAATTTAGTCTAAAAATATTTTGCCCTTAAATTTGTTATATCAAAATAGGTTCAATAGTTTGTGAAAAACGTTTTGATGATTATCTTCCCTTTCACCAAGCTATTGAGAAAAGACGCGTTATTCATTTGGACTAATAAGTACAAAGAAAATTTCAAGAGGTTAAAAAGAATACTGACATAAGCTCTAGGGTCAATGTAATCAGTCTAGAAAATATTATGTGATTTATAGTAATGTGTCTCATAATGGTTTGGGATGCGTGCTCTGAAAGAGGAAAAGTTATGGCTTATGTTGTAAAGCATCTAAAGAATCATGAAAGAAAATATTGGACTCGTGATCTCGAGTTGGCAACTGTTGTGTTTACTTCATTGATATAACACTATTATCTATATGGTGAGTGAAGCTATATCTACACGGATCTCAAAGTCAAAAGTATGTGTTAACTCGAATGAGTAAAAATAGAGGAAATTGATTGAATTCCTTAAAGAATGAAGAGGTACTTATCGACTGCCACCAGGAATGGCTAATGTAGTGGCTGATACGATAAAACTAAAAGACATTTCTGTTCTGAGAGTTTTGAATATATGATTATCTTTAAGGAAAAATGGAGTTATGCTTTTAGAAATAAAGAAAAAGCCTATGCGACTAGATCGAGTAAAGGATCTTCAGAAACATGATAAAAATTGTTTTGCTTGTCAAGAGATAAAACAAATGGAAAATGTTGAAATCAGAGACTTTGAAGTTAAGTATGATGGATGTTTGTATTATCGAGAAATAAATTAATATTAGTAGCAAGTATAAAAAGAGATATCACCGAGATTGTTTCTAAATGTCTGATATGTCGACGAGTTAAAAGAGAGCAACAAGTGCCTTCTAGATTGTCGTAACTAGTATTTATCCCTTAGTGAGAATAGGAACGAGTTAAAGCATAACATATGAAGTCTCAAATAAACCTGGCACTGAGTGTTCCTTTTGAATTCTCAGTTTTATTCCTCACAAATAAATCCATTATTATTTTTGTAGGTCTCTATTGTAGTTTCTTATTTACTGGGACCAGAACATTCAAAAAAATATAGATTTTTACAGGTGATATGGTTCCTAAAAAAAAACCTGATCCACTAAGTATTTCACCCCTCTTAATTTTCATATATATTTACAAAAAAACTTCATACAAGCTCGAGTCAAACAAAATTTTATTAAACTTATCAAGTATTGAGTCAAATCAAACACGAATTAAACAATTTTTGTATCAAATCGAGAACTGCTCAACTCATGATCGACTCACTCGATAAGCACCATTAGTTGGTATACATTATTGAAAAATAAATGGGGACAATTATCTACCAGAAAAACCCTTAGTCGAGTTTTACTCATTAGTTGGTACACATTTTTGAAAAAAAAAATATGGGGACAATTATCTACTAAAAACCCTTAGTCGAGTTTTGCTCACTCCAAACACAAACTTCGTACCAAAAATCTGAGTGACACGAAAAACGTCATTCTTCGGGTAAGCTATTCATTCACTGGATAAAATACATATTTTGGAAAATTACAACTTTAGTCACAAAACTTTTTTCAAATTTATACTTTGGTCACCAAACTTTGAATTTATTCATTTTGGCTACTAACAAAAATTTTGGAGTATTACATAGATCTTGATGTGGGATTTTTCATTTATAGTATTCATTCAATAACTTTTTTATTATTAATATGTATAAGCCTCACTGAGTTTCATATCTAGTGTGTGATTATTTTCATACGTAGATAGTTGATTCAGTTTTAAAGAAGTCAAAAATTATATTTCCGAACATAAATTAATTAGATCTCGAAAAAAAATGTTCGATCTCTGGTTACTATAATCTATGTGTCATGTACAAGATTATTACAGATGTAGCATACCATATTCTGTGAATAAAACATTTTGTGAATATTGAAATCAAATTCTTTGACATCGGTGTTTTGTATAGCATAACTGTAACTTAAATATATTTAAACAAAGTAAATAAAGATTAGAAATTGGTTTATCCGATTTTAAAATCGTTAAAAACCACATAAATGTTTAAATAAAAAAGCTAGGCTTAATTTGAATAACTTTAAAAAAATAAATTCAGATTTTTAATATAATTAGAGGTTTAGATAATTCAAAAAATACATATAGACCGCCGTCATGGCATGAAGTGTATGTAGTCATTTTTTTTTACTTATTTTAGATTGTCAAACCCTATAAGGACACACTAAAAGGGCCAATTTACATATTAACCAAAATGGAGTTAGCATATTGATTATTGTGTCTACTTGACATGATTGGAAACCCCGTTTAGTTTAGACCAATGGCATTGAAGCCTTCTGGCACAAGGATAGAGTTTTTTCAAAACCTTACATAATTATTGCGTCACCTTCTCACTATAAAATAAAACCATCATTCGCTCCATTTTCAGACCCAATACAAAGTGGATCGTTCGATTGGGCGCGCGGTTACTCAAACGTTCGATAAAGAAGGAGGCAAACCAGTCCTTTAAATGGTGTTTTCACTCAACTTTCTAAAATCCTCTTATTCATTGATCACCTAAAAGAAAAAGGGCAATTCTTCTTTTGTTTTCTGCGTTCTTCTACTCGGATGGTTGGGTTTTTCTTTGGTCATTTTCTGCAGCGTCGCTCCCAAATCATATTGGTCAGTTTCCCTCTCTTTCCTATCATCTCTTTCGGATTTCGGAAAATGGTTTTTAGTATTTAGTCGTCCAATTATCATTTTGATTCCGGTTTACTCATATGACTTTTTTTAAAAAAAAATCATGTACAAATATAACTGCTAACATGATAATTTTGGAAAAAATAATAGTTATATGATCAAAACAGGACCAAAATGATAGTTCAATGACTTCATATGTAATATACCCAAAAGGTTTTGATCAATAAATTCCGTGAACCCTTTTTTACTTTCGGGTTTTGATTCTTGGAAACTTGGTTGTTGAAAAACAGGGACGCTGCCTGAGAGATCTGAGAGTTGAATTGGCTCGGAGGCGAAGGCGTAATAAGCGTACGTTGGAATCTTTGGGAGCGTGGGAAGCTGCGGTTGCAGTGACGGGGGAGCAAAACCGCCGGATTAGAGTGGGAATGAGGCGACAGTGTGTTGTCGATTCCCTTACTAATTTGTTGATTCACCACTGTCTCCTTGAGGTGGAGAACGATCCTTCGATGAGGGACGCTTTCCAAAGAATCGACGCCGAGAATCTCAACCTGCGGAACTTCGCTGACATGAATCCACCTCGACCTTTTCCAGGTCGCCGCCGCCGCCGATGATTGCCATTAGTAGTTGTGATCGTCGAGTCAGTCTAGAGAGTTTTCGGTAGGGATAAATTAAATTTTAGTCCCTAAATTTTATTTATATTAATTCGTAAATTTAGATTTTTTTTTATCTATTTTCAATCCTATTAATGATGTGCCACCTTGATATTGTGTACCATGAGTGCCATATCCATTAACAGGATTAAAATAAGTAAAAAAACCTAAATTTAAGGTTAGTATAAATAAAAAAAATCAAGGATCAAATTAAAAAGATTACAAAATTTTAGGATTTAAAATAATTTATCCCTTCTCTATCCCGTTCTTACGTTTACTGTCTGACTGTCTTTTAATAAAATATAAGGTGCCGATGAGTCCTTAGCTGCACAGCAGGGAGAGGCTACGGTACTTTAAAGTAACCGGTTCAATTTTTAATATGTTTGGATTTAATTTAGATTTATTTTAATAAATTGTTCAGTTTTAATTTAGTTATTCTAGACTTTTGTTACTGTGATTGTAATAGTTAATTTCAGTATTTTTTTTCAATTTCTGATGAAGATAATAAAGTTTAATTTTAAATTTTTCATGGTATATAATTATTTAGTTTTTTATAACATGTATATATCATTCATTTCAAAATATGAATCCATTAAATAATTTTTATGATATAAAGAAATGCTATTTTTTTTTATAGAAATTTAGGTTTAAATAATTATATTTACATGGTGTATATAAGTTATAAATAAATTTAAAAAATTTAAATAGTTATTGTATTATCATCCTTTCAAACTATTTAAAAAATAATTAAATATTTTATTTGTATTTTATATGAATTATTTAATTTCGTACCCCTGAGTTTTATAATCTCACACCCATAAAATTTTAATATAATTTTTTATGTTCATACTCCTGATACAAATTCTTACGTCCGTCCTTGGAGAAGAGGTAAAAATAACATGACAAACCCTATATCATATTTTGGGTTACATTTTGATTATTTTATTGAAAAATGTTCAAATTAATCATTGTACGTTTTAAAAAGAGAAATAATTTTCATTCATGAATTATATTCAATCTATTTTTAATGATTGATATGAGAATTAACAAAAAATGATAAAATGTTTTTACTAATATAACCCTTAATTATTTAGAATAAAAGGTTTAAAAATATTTTTTATTATAAATTACAAAACTATTTCGGATCTTTTAATTTAACCGGAAAATTTCAATATAAAAATTTAATTTTATCAATTTAACACTGCTATTTTTTTTTATTGAATTCTTAAAAATGAAAAGAAAAAAAAAAGAAGAAAAGAAAAGTAAGAGCTATCCTAATAGCAACACCCAAAGAATAAGTTTTGGTTTACTCTCATTCACATTTTTCTTTACAAGTCATAACCCCTACAGTTATCAGTATTTACCGGACAGCCACTATCGTACAGTCTTTAATTTGTTTCCTTATCCACTTTGTTTCTTGCAACTGAACCATAAGGTTATTTTTGCTGTGGGTTTTATCTAATTATAAATAAAATAAAAATGTGCCAATAATTTTTTTATAAATTTTTTAATATTTTTAATATATCAATAAAAAATGGTAAACAAAAAAGATTAAAAAAATATTTTTTTTCATTTATACGACTGTAACATTAATGGGGAAACTTTGTGATAGAGTTTGGAGAGCCAATTTAAAATTTTAAAAGTTTAGAGGTTTAAATTAATTTTTTTAAAAAAAAATTGAAGGGTTTAATTTAAATTTTTCCAAAAAAATCAAGGTCTAACTAAATTTTTTAAAATTTTGAGAGGCTTAATGAGAATTTTTAATATTATGGGAATGAGTTTAATCAAGAACATTAAAAGATTTTAAAGTTCAATCTAAATTCCTAATAATTTTAAGGTATTGAAAGGCTAGTTAATTTTAGCATATTTAAAATGACTTCTTGAATTAAAAGTAATTTTAGTGAAGTCATCAATGCATGTGCTTAGCCTTTTGTACTTAAAAATTCATTCAAATTCCTAAACTTTTTCAAAAGGCTAAACCGAAGCATCTAGAATAAAAGTTCGGTCGCCATGGATAAAACCTTTCTACCTTTCAAACTCTTGGTTTGAAAACTACCGACTAAATAAATAAATAAGAAAATAAATAAAAAATCGTTAATCGTTTAAAATGATTATAAGATAATATTTATTTATATTTTTTTAACAATACACACTCTTTAAACGTAATTGTTCGATTCTATAATTCTAAGAAAAAGAATATTTTTTCTCCCATGATATAGATTCAAATAAATAAAATTTTCTTTTTCATAACTAATTTTGAATTGTATGATTATAAATAATCAAATTTTAAACTCTTATTTTAGAAAACATTTTTTAATATCTTAATCTTTCAAAATGTTACTTTTTTATGAATATATTTGTTTATTTAGTTAGAAATTTAAGTGAATAAAAAGATGATTAAATTAAATAAAATCACAAAATTGATAATTTTTTATTAAATATTTGATGATGATATAATTTTAAAAGTGTAAACTTATAGTTTAAATATATTAAAATAATTCTAATCAATTGATCCAATAAATTCGTACTTTATGCACTTTAAATGGACAAAGTTGAGCAATATCTTTCCCAAGACTAATTCCACTACCTTGCATTGAAAAAGGTGTGTAACAAATAAAATAAAATAAAATAAACTCCAATATTATGTCTGCACGTGCGGCACAACTAGCTGTTGTCAAATGTTTTCATATTTTATGTGCTTAACGTATAAAGTTGTACATTAATGGCGTAACAGTATTCCGACGTGTTAAAATCCACACTTAATGCTTGTTTATGGTCTTTATTTTTAAAAAATATTTTAATTTTGATTGAAATAGTCTTTTAATAAAATATAATTTAAATATTTTTTTAATAAAAATATTTTTTTAATATTTAAATAAAATAATATATTATAAGTACGTTTTTTGAATTTATTGAAATCCTAAATTAAGGAGCATGAATGAGAGGGGATAACTTTTAGGATAGAGTAAAATGGTCCACTGCATATAGGATTATGTTTGATTGAGTCTTCTTATTATTAAAAGTTACAAAATGACCCCCGATTATAGGATGTTATTTTGTTGAGTCCTCCGATTATTAAAATTTACAAAATAGTCATCTGACTATTCATATGTTCTAAATTCATCATTTTTTGTTCAAAATTGACGATAATCTAAGTTGAACGTTAAATTGTTAATTGATATATGATAAAATATGATTGCATAACCTCAAACGACTATCATATTCTAGTCAATATTGTTAGAAAGGTTCTTAAGCTCAAGAACGACATTCGACTATATTTTAAAAAAATTTGGGTTTTATTTAAGAATTTTAAACCCTAAACCCAACTACTTTGCTAAAATTATGCAACAGAGATCTCAGGATTTCCCATAAAATGCTTGCAGTTGTGTGCAAATCCTATCATTCAGCAGGTTCTCTTCAGGAGTATAGGCATAATTGCAAAGTTGATTCTAGGCTCGATCTTCATGCAGAGCAAAAGCTACTGCTCTTAGTAAATCTTTAAGTGCCAAATTTCTTGTGCTCTACCTCGAGGATATAGGGTACTACATACATCTAACTAATTGGTCCCGAAACATGAACGGATATCATTATAACTATTCTTATATACAATGAAGAACAATTATTCAAGAACTGAATACAACTATTATATGTAATGTTCAATCATGCACTCCTTACGTTGGAGGGATTCAGTCCCTAAACCCTCAAAGGAAGCTTGCCTTACCAATTCCTAGCTTACCATTTGGACTCTGCAAGGGGAATTTATTGGCTATACAATCAACATGATTATGAGCTTCCTTTATCATTTGGCATTTAGTCAGACTGTAGAGATTTGAAATTTGTAATCAATTAAAAGTTCTTAAATACTTTAATCCAATTACCATTTCAAGAACAATTACATGAATACATTGATACTTACTGGTCGCTTTCGATTTTCTTCAATGTTGATACGATGGGGCTCTATTTGAAAGTCATCATCTTCATGAACAAAAATTGAACTTTCAACCTATAATAGGTCCATTCGAAAACAACAAACTTTAAAACCTAACCCCTATTTTCAAAGACTAAAATTCTAAAAAAAAATAAGGTTTGACAACATACCTTTCGAACATATTAAGGAAAAAAAGAGTCCAATCTGGAAATCAATCAAACCCTAATTTATGGCAAATATCAATAAATTTACATGAAGAACTGATCGTAATTGTTATGAATATTGGTATTCGTCGAAGTGGAAGAGTTCTATTATGCCTTTATGGTTTTTCGATTTAGGGTTTGTATCGACGCTTTTAACATATAAATAATGAAAGAAAAAGCACGCATAATTTAAGAAAATATCGATACAATTTTAAAAAGTGTTGATACATTATGTTGACCTATTTTCTAATTAAATTGGTATAATTCTACCGATTACATTGTAAATTTACCTATTACATTATAATTATCGGTTTTGATGTTTTAGGGATCAATACTTTTAATAAATATATCGACACTTTATGCGTGTACCTCATTTGGCATTCATTCTGGATAAAAAGTATCGAAACAATTTAAAATGGTATCGATACATTATATTGGCCTATTTTCTAATTAACCGGTATATTTCTACCAGTTACATTGTAAATTTACCTATCACATTATAATTATCGATTTCGATGTTTTTGAGATCTATACTTTTAGTAAATGTATCGACACTTTATGCGTGCACCTTGTTTGACATTCATTCTGGACAAAAAGTATCGACACAATTTAAAAAGTATCGATGCATTATGTTGACCTATTTTCTAATTAACCAGTATATTTCTACCGGTTACATTATAAATTTACCTATTACATTATAATTATCGGTTTCAATGTTTTTGGGGTCGATAATTTTAGTAAATGTATCGACACTTTATGTGTGCACCTCGTTTGGCATTCATTATGGATAAAAAGTATCGACACAATTTAAAAATGTATTGATACATTATGTTGACCTATTTTCTAATTAACCAGTATATTTCTACTGGTTACATTGTAAATTTACCTATTACATTATAATTATGAATTTTGATGTTTTTGGGATCGATACTTACAATAAATGTATCGACATTTTATGCGTGTACCTCGTTGGGCATTCATTCTGGACCAAAAGTATCAACACAAATTTAAAAAGTGTCGATACATTATGTTGACCTATTTACTAATTAAACTGGTATATTTCTTCCGGTTACATTGTAAATTTACCTATTACATTATAATTATCGATTTCGATGTTTTTGGGATTGATACAATTTTAAAAATTATCGATACATTATGTTTACCTATTCTCTGATTAAACCGGTATATTTTATCTATTACTTTATAATTATCGGTTTCGATATTTTGAGGATCGATACTT